CCTGCTTGCACCTGCTTTATCACAGAGGCTGCAGTTACTTAGACTGCCTGGTAGGCACTGGTGCGAATAGATGGCTCCAGCCTGGTGGTGGAAAGTGCCTCGCATCTCAACCTTGGTAGTAGACGTAGAGACTTTGAACAATGAAGGTGACAAACCATTACGCAGCATCTTTGGCTCCTGAAAGGTATCCCTGACAGACACATGCCAGCAAAACACAGAGCTTGCTTTCCTCCAGAGTTAGGTAATGGGAGGTAGAAACTGCCGTTTGTGACAGGAGGTGGTTACCTTTGGCCATGGCTGCAGGAAGCTGGGATGTGGGCTGGGAAGCAAGGTGGTGCACCTGGAGCCTCCTTTTTGTAATTGCCATGGGAAGGTAGTTTTCAGGTTCTGCCTGTACTTTAAGATTGTTGGTGATGCATTAAAAGAAGGCTGAGATTGAGAGAGGCCTAATTGGACTACCTCAGCAAGCAAATGGTAATGGATGAAGAAAAAGGAACAGAGTGATGGCTGGATAAAGAGGATTGGTAAAGCAGTAGTAATGGATGGATTCGTCTTTCTCTCTGAAGAGTGTTTCTTATGACTGTAAGGATGCAGGGTGTAAATTACATGGGGTGTAAATACGTGGCAGAAGAGATATGATGATGATATGATGTGGCAGCCTCTGCATCCTCAGAGGCAGAATGATAATGTCTTTTGGCTGCTAAGCAGTGCTTAGTAAACACTTTGTGCTACCCTTCTCTGATCAGATCCTGTTGTGCAATTCACGTTAAGTAGTAGGTCGGTAACGTGTCTTGGTCTGGAAGTTGCGGTATCAGCATTTGATAGTGGCTGGGGAAGCGGATAAAATAACAGACTTGGAGCTCAAGGGGTGTGTGTCCGTGCAGGGCCAGCACAGGTAGGCTGCAGGGCATGGATGGGGACATCTGGCTGGGTGCAAGCTGGAGGTCAGGGACGGGTGTTTATGTCCGGGAAGTAGTGGATTTTGTATCACCTCACGTAGGTAGTTCTGGTTGGCTGGGGAATGGCTCTAGAGGGGAGCTTCCTGACTGCCCATTTTAGTACCTCGTTGGCAATGGAGACCCATCTGATGAATGACAATGTCTGGAAAGCGAGGCTTGACTGACAGTTGTAACATCCAGTGGTTCGGAGCAGTAAACCCGCAGCAAGGACGAGGGGTGAACACTTAGGACTGGAATGTGTGCCTGCCTTCAGCTATCTCGTGATTTCTGATGTCTTGGCTGAAGTCTTTAGTTATTACCATGGTTTGGGCAGCGACTGATGCTTTTCCTGTGGAATCCTGCTGCTGTTAGGATTAGCTAAAGTGCTTGCTAGAGCCAGTATTAAATGCTAAGTTTAGGATTTGCTAATGCAGACATTGGAATTCTCTCCATTGTATCCCAGCACTCTTCACAACATGCCATAGGATCATAGGATATGTCTGCTCAGTCTGTTTGGCTTTTGTCTATTTTCAGTCTGTGTGTGTCCAGAATGAAATGAAACTTCAGCCTGTTTGAGGAGACTGAAGTCCTCCTGAGTCTCAGGGCAGCAGTTGTGACCAGTGTGCAAGAGCCCCTTTCCCAGGGGGTGGCTCTGCGTGCTCAGGATCCCTCCTGCAGCGCTGGGCATCCCCCCGGCCCCAGGAAAGCTGCAATAAGGCTCCTTCAGCCACTGGTTAGAGCTGACCCTGCTCAACTTTCTAAAAGTAGCCCTGGTCCCACCCACACAACCTCCTCTTTTAATTTCTCAAATTACCCTTTAGTGCCCACAGCAGAGTGAACATTGCCTTGTAATTTGTGTTGTCCCTTTGACAACTGAGGGAGACTCCTGTTCCCAAGGGGCCTGTGCCTGGGGGAAGGGAGAGCGGATGGAACGTGCGGGAGACTTGGAAGAATATTTGAGGGAATAAGGGGAGAAGAAATGGGCGTCAGGTTTGTTTGTAGAGCCTGGGGTTAGGCTGGCAGCTGACTCTATGGGAGTGCTGTACTAACCGTCAGAGTCTGTGTTCTTGTGGGGCTCTTCAGCCACGGGCCGCTTGCCCCCCAGCGCCTGCAGCCCGCAGTGCTCCTGCCGCTTGTTTTTCAAGCATTGTGTGCTTAAACATTTCTGTGATTTAAAGAGCTTAAATTGTTCAAGAGCCAATAGGTCTAACTGCCTCTTGTGTATTCGACTCTGGTAGTGCTTTATAGTCACATACTGACACAGGTGCTGCTTTTGATGTAAAGGAAAGTAGCCAGTCTCAAACCTCTGCTAAACTGGGAGGGACACATGGTGTCATTCTCCTTTCAGAGGCTGCCGATGCTGTTTGTCTCGTAGGGTGGGAGGGTGGAGCGGGGTTTTGGTTTGGGGTTTTCAGGGGCTGTGGGTCTCGGTGTTGGGTTTTGTTGTTTGTTTTAGTAAGTGTGACCACAGTCCTAGGCCAGGACTCTGTCCTCAGGGTTTGCCCTCATGATGCCCACCATGACGTGCGGGGCTGTGCTGGTGAGCGGTGTCTTGGCTGGCTGAGGGCTGTGTCCTGCTTGAGCGGCTTTTGCTCAGCAGCTGGGGCATAGGGAAAGTTGCTGATAAATGGATTAAGTACCTTTACTGTAGCTAATACACACAGTGAACTGCTCCTAACATCTGTCCACTTTGCCTGCACCAAAGGCTGATTTCAGTGCTAAGTACTTTGAAAGTGCAAAGCAAAAGGGGTTCCACTGTCCAAGGGATCTTCCTGCACTCTGGAAGCCACGTTAAAAATTTGAAACAGGTACAGTGAAACCCTGCAGCAGCTCAGTTCAGAGAACTCGGGTCAGAAACTGCCTTACCAAAACACAGCATTGCTCTCCAGAGTGAAAAGAAATGGAGTCAGCCCTGGTTGGGAACTAGTGCCATTGGTTCTGTGGAAAGAGGATGTGAAGCAAAGAGAACAGAAGATACAATGTGAGACGGGAGTGCATGGCGGGTGAAAACTTAGGAGACAGTTTATATTCTGTAATACGAAGGATAACACCTGTGAAGTTGTGGAATGGTCAAGAAGTGATTATGTACTGAGAAAAGTTTGGGGTAGAGCAGAGAGAGCTTACGGTTTTGGGACAGGGTAATTCCTGAGTACTTGTAACAAGCTTGTAACTAGCTAGAAATATGGTTCAGCTGCAAAATACTATATTGTAAGTGAAGGGATTCCACAGGCACTACCTGGAAGGGAGTTCGCTCTCCTTACATTAGATGACTGCGGAGGGTACTACTCTGGGATTCCTACACTGATGGTGGAGAGCAGCTCACTGCTGGGCTATGACTCCTCTGACAATACAGATTGCTGCTGCCTGCTGGGAGGAGTTATGCCCCAAGCTCTATCAACAATGAAGAATGACAACACTGACAACCTCTATATCATTAGTCTGATCCTCCTGACATGATTTCCACACCAGTTTCTAAATACTGTCCTTTTACTTTTTCTCCAGGTACCTTACAGCGTAAGCAAAGCAATGTGTTTGAAACTAATTGAAGCTCACTTTTATTCTGTAGCTTGTAGACCGAGAGCCACTTGTATGTCACTTGGACCTGCTAGAACCACTTCCTGCTGGCCCAGAAGAGCTTCCTGATGAATTTTTTGAAGTCACAGTGGATGATGTGCGGAAACGCTTGGCACAGCTGCAGAGTGAGAGGCAAGTTCCCTTCCTGCTGCCTACTTGAGACTGCTCCGTATGGTTTTGTTGAACAGAGTGACACTGTATGCCTATAGCTGGCTGGGATCTCTGGGTAAAGGGTTGTAGATAAGTTACTGGGTGTGGAATTAATGAATTAATGATCAGCACTGCAAATCTCTGCCTTTTATGCCATTTGAGTTCAAGGGCTATGTCCTGTTGCTGTGATAGGATGTATGTTTTTGTGTGAATCCGTTGAGGACTTGTGATGCTGATGTGGGGATAAGTTTATCTGAGAACCTGAGGTGAAGGAGGGTGGGCCCTCACTGAGGAAGGATTAAGAAAAAGATTCCTTCCTGTGTTCTGCATTTCAGGGAGTTATTCAAAGCTACTTAACACCCCACCACATTTTATTTCTTTCCTTCTCTGTTCTTCTGAAAGAGAAGCCACTGCCTTTGTAATTAGATGTGCTCTTGCTAGAGGCCCAAAGCAGCAGTGAGCTCCTGCTATCTGTTTTGAACTGACTTTACACTAACTTAATTAGGAATGGAATGGATAGAAATTGTAACTTTTGATGGACAAATACATGAACACAATAATCCAGCTTCATAGGAGTAACTCTCAGTGACTTCAGTAGTAGCTTGTAGCATTTTCAACCACCCTAAGAAACACCTTATATTTTAGCAGAAAAGACCAACTTCGAGACATTACACAAATGGAAATAAAGCAAAATCAAGTTTAGTTACATGAGAATGTTTGGAGCACACACAAAGAAGGGGAGGAAGTGGGACTAACGATGCATCTCACTGTTCAAGTACCTTGCTGTCAAATAGTCATGGTTTTACTCATACTCCACTTCTGAGCTTAAAACTCAGATTAAGATAAACTAGCCTCCCCATCAGCATTTTGCTGTCTGTATTTTCCTGAAGAAATCAATTTTGTGAATGTATTTAATTAAAAGTGGGTCATAACATTCCTTTAAACAAGCATTCTCTGAGACTGTGGGTCTCCTTCTTCACACTCTAACCAAGTCTGAGTTGAACTTCTTACTCAGAGCTGATTTTTTTCCCCACAGGCTGGTGAGACCACAGATTGGCCTGAAAATTGCTCTGCCACTTGTAGGTCTGGAATATTTAGTGGTACAAATGTAGGATCATTTGGTTGGGGGTTACTGGAATACAGCACCCTCAAAAAAAAGACCTTATTTCCAAATTTGCTGATGCTTGTAATCCATTTGCCCCTCACAGACAAAGGTAAAAATAAAAGCAAGTTACACATGAAACTGGTACCTGTTGGCTTTTGATCTCAGGTGATGAATCTTACCAAAAACTAGCTGCACACAGTGCAGTATTTTAACTGCAATTAGAATTTAATTTTGACTTTGTGAGGAGCTGGGAATTGGTGTGGATCAGCACTTGGTACACTAAGAGGTAATGGAGCTGGCACTTCCAGAGCTTCTTGGGATATGCTGTACCAGCTGACAGTCTGGGCACGCTTGGTTAAGTCTGTACTTGTTTTGTTCAGCAGCTGTTCCCAAGATACTTCCAACTGTATAGGTGTAAGAGATCAACTTGCAAATGGTTGTGCAGAACTACAAGATCAAATGTTTCACCACAATCTAGCCTTGTAAATCCATTATTCAGAATTAAGTGTGGACAAGGAAGAAGGACTAAAGCTAAGCACGGACTCTGTTTGGTCTAAGCTTATTTCTTCACTTATAGGAAAATATGTAATTGTTTTCTTGAATTTATTGTTTCATCTTAAATTCTGTTTTCAGCCACTATTCCTTTTAAGACATCAGTCTGCAGTGTGAGTTCTTGGATGATCTGAAACTTCTCTTTTTGTTCCCCTGTTGCTAACTAATACCCATTAATTTCTTGTGCCAGCATTGTTTTACAGCTTCAGTAGCTCTTCCTACTCCCTGGAGTAATTACATCCAACTTAGGCTCTGTTTTATTGGATTAATAATTCCATCTCTTCTTGGGTAGTTTAAGCAAACGTTCCCCTGCTTTTCTTATAACTTCTCTGGCATCTGCTCTAGTGAACTTATTTTTAAACTTGTACAAGAAAAGTAATGTTGTATTGTTGCTGATGCTCGGTAGTTCTGTATATGAGGTTTTTGGGATAGGAACCATAGAAGGTTGGGAAAATACTGAGAGGGATACACGGAACAGTTGAGCATTCTCGTCAGCCCTGCTGGTTACTGAAGTGACAGCTTGTCTTCTTCCCATGCATCTAGGAAACGCCTGGAAGAAGCTCCACTGATGACAAAATCCTTGAGGGAGGCTCAGCTGAAGGAAAAGCTAGAGCGTTACCCAAAGGTAGCCTTTGTTCTTTTCCAGTCCCTCTGGCTAGTCCAGGCTCAGGGGCTGAGTAACTTTCAAATCAATTGTGATAACAGGACCTTGAGCTACTTATAGGAAGACTTTTCAAATTTCTGTCCCTGTCCGTTGCTTGTGGGGCTTGCACAACAGTTGCACCACGTAAAACCAGCCATCCTGCAGTGACACGGGTGGGGGCAGGCAATATATCTTCTTTGAGTTCGTTCTAGATGTTTCAAAACCCTTATGTTGTGCACACGAGTCTGAATGACTGAGCTTTCCGATTTGCCTCTCTGATATTTTGAAACTATCTGATTGCAAGCTAAATAATGAGATGTTTCAGACTGGAGGCATCTTCTCTATAAATGCAATCCTAATGCTGGTTTTGTCTTTGGTTACTTATTGCAAAGCAGTAAGAGATTAAGTTCCCAAGTTAAGTATTTTCTGACCAGTGCTTCAAATAGAATGGTAATTTACTTCAGACATGTGGCAGGAGGTTTCCTGCTGCTATGGACACTTCATGATACTAATAACACTGTTTGTACCTGTCCATGGGTAACTTTCTACTTTGTGCATCACTTGGCACAGAGAGTTCTGCTGCATTGTACATCATACTGTTGCTCTCTTACAGCCTTTGAAAGACAGACAGCCCATGTTCTCTGAGGAGCTGCCAGTATGCTTTTGTACTCCTGTAGTGGAAATATTTCAAATCTCCCAATTTAAAACCAACAAACCAACCAAAACCCCCGAACCCCACCTTGCTCACAAATTCTGAGCCAAGGAGAGATGTTACAGAACAGCCATAAACAATTCACCTGATGTGCTTTGCCTTTGATTTAGGTGGTGCTGAGAGTCCGTTTTCCAGACCGTTATGTTCTACAGGGGTTCTTCCGTCCTAGTGAAACTGGTAAGAGCAGTCTCCGCCTGTGTAGCTGCAGCTGACCTCTCGTCACTGATTAGTTGCATGATAGAAGAGCATGGCTCTGGACAGATCTTTCTGCTGTCCAGGGAAGTAATACTGCTGTGAAAAAGCAGCAGTAGCTGGTTACACTATCCTTACAGGGCCCCTGAGTGGGATGAGGAGTCTGGGGTGATTAGCTTAGCTAAGGGGAGTTTATTTCCAGGACTGGTTGGCTGAGACTGTCAGCCTACTTGATGGCAAAATATTTGCACTCAGAAAACTGTCCCTTCTCATATCCCATTGCTGGTGTCCAGATGGTGTGTTACGGAGATGAGTTTGGACACCAGCACCACCCCCCTTGCCCCAGTCCAAAGCAAACACCCAAACCAGGAAGAAGCAGCTTTACCTACTTGTCCTGGGTTCAGCTCCAGCAGTCATTTTTCTCCTTCTCAGTAGCTGGTGCAGTGCTGTGGTTTTGACTTTCAGCCTGGGAACAACGCTGATAACACCGATGTTTTTAGTTGTTGCTCAGTAATGCTTACTCTGACCAAGGACTTTCTCAGTCTCATGCTCTGCCAGAGAGGAGGGGAAGCCAGGAGGAAGCAGAGGCAGGACACCTGACCCAAACTGGCCAAAGGGGTATTCCATACCACAGCACGTCATGCCCAGTATATAAACTGGGGGGAGTCACCCAAAATGCCCAGATTGCTGCTCGGGTCGGGCTGGGTATCGGTCGGCGGGTGGTGAGCGGTTGTGTCCTCTCCCCTTGTTATTCCTCTTATCATTATTATTGGTAGCAGCAGTGGTTTGTATTATACCTTAGTTACTGGAGAGCTGTTATCTCAACCCGTGGGAGTTACATTCCTCCGATTCTCCTCCCCATCCCTCCGGGAGTGGGGGGAGGAAGGAAGGGGGGGGAGTGAGCGAGTGGCTGCGTGGTTCCGAGTTACCGGCTGGGCTTGAACCACGACACTCCTGTAAAAATGGCATGAACCTTTCTGCCTCTGTCAGTTCACAAGAGGTGGCCAGACCATACACCAAGTAGCTCTTCCTATTGCAGTGGAGATCCTCTCATTCTCTTCTGGCACTAATACTTACCCACACACTGAGGGGGGTTGTTTTAGTACTTTTGTATGGAACAAGATCTAGTAACTAGTTGCCAGAGTCTCACCTGGCTGGGCTCTGCAAATCCTGCAGCCGCTGTTGGATTTCCTAGGAGAACTTCACTGACATCCTTAAATTTTGCTGAGGGAGTGGCCAGTCCAGCTTTGTTTGGGAGCTTTTGGTTGGGTTTGGTTTTTTTTTTTTCAAGATATTTGTAGTAGTAAGAGTGTTTTTACGGAAAAGGCAATCAGCAGCCATTGAAGAGGGCAGTTTTTGCTGTTACAGGGTATCCTTTTTGCCCTGCATCTGAAGAAGCAAACGTAGTTCAGCAAACCTTTCTTTCTTTTTTCCACAGTTGGCATTTTGAGAGCCTTTGTAAGAAGCCATCTTGCAGATGCAGACTTGCCATTTTACTTATGTGAGTGTGCTGTTGGTAATATTTGGCCTTACTTTACAAAGCCTATTTCTAGCTGTGGTGCATATGGGATCTTTTGATGCCTTGAGGTATGACCTGAGGAGGAATTTCTTCCCTAAATACAGCCTCAGAGTGCAAAGAAGGTGTAACCTGCTCACTCAGGCACGTTGTGCTTCTGCCTGTGTGGGCAGTGTGAATGTGTCACTGCTTTAATAAGCAGCAATCCCTCCCGTAGCTGCTGTATTTGTTGTTTTGCTTGTTGGGTGGTCCTGTTTTGTAACTTGTTTTTTAACTTCAGTTATTGCACCTCCCAGAACCATCTTGAACGATGAAAGTTTGACGCTCTTTGAGGTAAGGACTCGTGTGTTTCTCTGTGACTTGCTGCTCCGCTTCACCCTGCCATATGCTCTAGTTACCTTGAAACTAGTATCGTGTTGTGATCCCCAGAGGCTTCTGCTTAGCCTGGGCTAATGGAACCAGGTGTTCTGGAGCACAAGCTCCTCACCAGAAGAGGTCCACCTTGTGCAACAGTATGCACTGGCGTGTTGTGTCAGGGTTGGGGGGTCCCATTGTTTCATACGAATGCTATTGCCTTGTGGAGTCTGAACTGTATTTAACCTTGAAACATTATTACAACAGCTGAACTAAAGTAAGTTTGCTGTATCTTAGTTGGATGCAGCAAACTCCCCTTAGTTGGGTCTTAGTATAGTAAACTTAGTATACTTACATACTAACTTAGTATACTTATATCTATAACTTGGTGTACTTAGTTGTATCTTAGTACAGTAAGAGATGGGAGGCAAGGTTTGGATGGGTGGCTGTTTCCAATTTCTGTAGCAGGAGCTAGAGGCCATATTGGACAAGAATCTGACCTTTTTGTTAATTGTTAATGTGTGAAAGTTCATTTTAAGCCACCTCGTACATGAGGAACATGTTGTCTCTGTGTGTAACTCTTCTCCAAGGCTGAAATTTAGTTTTAAACATCCAGATTCTTGAAGGTTTTTTGCAAATATCAGATAAGGTGGATTTGAAGTCTCTGGCCAGAGCCCCTTGGCTGTGTGATCCCACACGTGCTGAGAGACTGACCGAGTGGGTTTTGCCAGACTTTGCCCCAGCCTCACCCTTTTTCAGACGTGCTGTTGTTCAGAACAACACGGAGCTTGTGGAGAGGCACTGGAGATGGCTGCAGGGGACAGGGCCGGGCACGCTGCAGCGAGGTGCTTCCCGAGGAAGCAGAAGGGGTGGCGCAGGAGAGGGACAGAGAAGGCACTTGTGAGGCAGCAGGGTGAATCAGGTAGGGATTAGCATGCCTCTGAAGTTGTTTGTAATGAAGCTTTCCACATTCCACAACTTCCTGATCAGGCCATGTGGAAGAGAGACACGTGCAGCTGCTTTTAAGACTACTGAATATTCAGGAAATCAAAATGGGGATCTCTGTGTTCACAGTGGGAACTGTGAAGTCTCTCCCCTTCCTAATATCCTGCTAAGAATTCTTTGCTGAAATTTGAAGTTTTGGGAGTGGTTTTGTTGATGCTGGAGTTCCTTGTATTGTCACCATGCCTGTGACAGGCTTAGCTTCCTAGGGAGCCTGGAGCCTCTCAGGGATCTCAGCCCTGTGCTTTTGGTGCTGTGGCTCAGGAATTGCTGTGCAGTAGCTCTTGGCCTCCATCCATCTTCACAGCCTGAGGGCTCTCTGCTTCTATCAGCCTCCCTGAGCTTTACTTGACCATGGCCTCTGTTTGAATGGGCAGTGCATGGCTGTGCTCCCACTGACGGGAATGGGACTGTGCTTGTGTTGGTAAGACAATGTCATTGTGGGTGGGGAGAACAACGATTTTTCTTTTCAAAGCCATTTTGTGTATTTTAATAATGAAAATACCAGTGGAAAGCACTTTGTGTCTTTGAGCCAGGAGATTTTGCCATTCGGACGTGAAGGCGGTTCTCCAGCTTCCTCTGATTTGAGCCGTCTTACCCACATCTGCCACCCAAAACAGTCTCAAGGCACACATGGTAACCATGATGGGAAAAGCAAAGGACAAATCTTGCGTTCGGATCCTGAGAAATGCCCCGAAGGGGGAGCTGGCTGCGGCTGCTCTGCTAATGGTGCATTTGGAAAACATTCAGAGGAACAGCAGATAATACAAAATGGTCTGCACTTGTTAGCAGTTCTGAGGCAAGGGAAGCAGCCCTAGAGCTGTGACTAGCACAGGCTGCTCTGACACACCTCTCTACTCACAGCCTTCCTCTGTCTCAGCCTCTTCTGTTGGTCCTAAGCTGTCATGTCTGAGCACATCCCTCACCTAGAGTTCCTTTATATGTTCTCTGACATGCTCTTTGGAATGCTTTTTTCACCTTTCCAAAGCGTGCTCTCTCTGCATCTCTCGCCAACAGAGGTTTCCTGCATCAAATGGGCTTTTTTGTGTCTTTTTCTAAGATTTGGCTGGGATGTGTTCCCATATTTCCTGCCTTCGCCTTCAGACTTGTGCCCCTACAAAATATCTTGTGTTCTTTTCAGTGTCTCTATGGGAAGTGATGTTGTCCCCTACCCTATATGCCTTATTTTCCTCTAGAGTCTCATGGACTTCAAGTTTTGACACTATTTATTTTTCCTTTAAGGTGGGCTTTCTTTTTTTGTTTTGTTAAGTACATCCTGGATGCCGAAGACTCAAGGTCTGCCTCTGTAATCAACCTTTATCCTGTTCTCAGTTCATTTTCTATTATATCTTTTGTTGCTCCTTGAATTCAAGGTACTTACCTTTCTGATGCAGCTTTCTTCCATTGTTTCTGTCGCTGGTGGGAAGTACCCCGTCTGCTCACGTGCCTGTCCTTGCTACCTTGAGATCTCCTGTGACCGTTCTCTTCCTCCTTTTTTGGTTAGCTTCTAAATCCTTTGCAAACCATACTCATTCCACAAGGAAAAGAGCGTGTCTCTGCCTTTTCAATGAACTTGAATGCAGCACCTTCTTTGCTGACTTTTATGTGCCTCCTGTTCATCCAGCCTCTGATGCTGTCTCCAGTCCTTGTTAGTTCTTAGCCTTGGTCTGTCTTCCAGATAAAGTTCAAAATCTGCTCACCTATATTCATCCCTTGTCCCCTCCTCCCCCCCAATACTGTTCTTTTCTCTTTTTCAGCAGACATCTAATGTTTCTCTGGATGTCTTCTGAAACGTTACTTGTTCAGTGAAACACTACAGAAATAATTACATGTCCCTGTCTTTGAATCAGAAACTTCATGGCAGGAGTTGTGCTTCATTTGCTGTGTTAAAGCCTTTGTTCTGTACCTGGCACTGTTCCTTGTGCATTACACATGTGCCGAGTTCCCAGTTTCCTAGCTGTGACATGTAATGTGGAATTCATTCCTTGCAGCAGCTCCCCGAGACATACACGTGTTACATCAGTGCTCTGTAGAGACCTGGAGACGGCTTTCAGGCTTTCAGACTCCTTTAGAAATCAGAACCTGATGGAGAACCTGGTTGGTTTTCCTGTCAAGCATCCTCTGTGTGTGGTGTCTGTCCTGGGACTGAAGTGGTTGTGGTGTCGCACGGCAAAGGTGCAGAGCTGATGTTAGGGCAGAACTGACTGTCCAAGGAACAGTGCTCGAAAGCTGGAAATTCTCCTGCAAATTGACTGGTTTAAGGAATAACTTTTCTTATTTCCCACTTCCTCTGTGTGAACACAGAACAACAACGTCTGACTGGGACAAAGGGTGGCAAATCCAAACTTGATTTAAGAATTGTTTTTTTCTGTGCAACATGTAATCCCAGTGCAGTCTGACTAAACCGTGTGTAGAAAGTGCTTGTGTTGAGAATTTGGGTATGCTTGTGGAAAAATGGATTTTTTATAATCTAAGAATACAGGATCATTACAATTACTTGTAAAATGTGCAAAGACAAACCCGATGCTTTACATTTGTTAGGGATTGTAACGTGGCATCTTGAGAGGTTACCACATTTCCCAGCGGTTGCAGGACTTGGCATTTTCTTCTTAGCTACCTGGTTCAGTTCAGGTAAATGCAGTGGTGCATGTGCTGGGAAAAATAATTTGAACTTCATATGCACCTCGGTGACCTGTTGGGTTGATTCTCACTGCCATGGAGCAAGGTGATGAATTGCTGAATAGTCAAAACTGAAACGACCTTCTTTCCAAACTCAAAGTATTCAGAGCAGAGCAGATAACAAAGCGAAGAACATCACTGGATGAAACCAGGGTTTCCTTGCATCTTCAATAATGTTTGCAGATCTGGCCTCATCTTAGAAAGGAACTGGGAAAGATACAGTGGAGGGAAATGGGGATCATCAGAGGTGTGGAATGGCTCCTGCACAGAGGAAGACTGAGTGGGCTAGGGCTTGTCAGTCTGCAGGTGTGATGGGGAAAGACATGACATATCAAGAAGAAGCTGGAAGGAGATTATTTCTTGCTCTGTCCAGGACAGGAGTGAGTGGCATCAAGTGGGATGGAAGAAGGTAGTTGTTCATGCAGCAGAAAACCAAAGTGTGGAATTCCTTGTCACAGGGTGCTACATACTACAAGTATATACTGGTTCCAGAGGAATTTGGACAAGCGCGAGGAAGATATCTACTGAGAGTCTCTCTTGAACCATGTCAGGGAGCTTCTGAACTGAAAATTGTTGCTAGCTAATAGTATTAGGGGAAAGTATCACATAGAATCAAAGAGCAGGGATACTCCTCTGCGCATCTGTTTGTTTGGGGTTGTTTTGGTTGCTGTTGGAAACAGGATACTGGCTGGACTGAATGGACTTGTGGCCTGCATACACTTCTTCTTAGCATCCTTGTGTACTGCTGGAAGTGGGTTACCTTGGCAACTTACCTGACCCAATAGCAATTCCTGTATTAACTCAACTGCCCTATAGATTGAATGGTAGTGGGCTAATACACATGAAACAGTACACAAAACTTCAGCTTCAGGAAAGGAAGGATTTTGCTCACACTTGCCACTTAGCTCTGCAAGTGTTGGCTGATGCAATTATGCCAGTGGACCCAAGCAAACTTTTCCTGCAGGAGACCTTGCTAAAGCTCATAGTGACTTTAAAGAACTCACTTGATTAATTTTTTCTTCTCCTTCTGCAGCTGAGCATATAAACTGTGCAAAGTTTCTGCTCGTGGTACCGCTTGTTGCCACAGCCCGTTCGGTGCAGAAGCCTCAGGTGGTTGGAAGCGTGTATGCAGCTGTAGGCATTCACCATGCACATTCACTGGGAGATTCCAAAACACTCTCGACTTCAAAAGTTATTAGGAAAACCCAGCCAGTCCATCAGAGCTGACTTGCAAGATAGATTCATGGTGAAGGAGCAGGAGACCATTGTTGTAACTGAGCTCTTTAAAAAAAATCAAG